CCTATAACTACTATATAAATGGATGACTCTGCCTAGGAATATATGTAAATATTATGAAATAATATATACAATATGAAGAAAATGTGCGAGGTTTACTTGCCTCGGTGTAAATATATAATTCAAATAGGTTGGTCATTAACATCGGTTTTAGTATAGGCGGGAACATTCCCTACAAACCATTAACATCTATCTATACCTCATCGAAACTAATGATACAGCACGACAAACAAGTACGTGGTTACACATATCTTCAGCAATATAAGTAAATTGAGGACTGATTTTGCTATAAAAAGCGGCTGAGTGGACTGTGTCGGCTGGCTTCAGAGTAAAATACTATACACAAACATGATAGTGAAGGTAGTGGGGAAGGGGGTCGCGGGTGATCCTCTACGGCAGATGATAAGTGGTGGGTGGGTGGTATCGTATTCCTCCCTAGAGGGGGTCCTCAAATATCTTTGAATTGAATAACGGAAGATTGACCCTGCTTAAGTAGCTTTAGGTAGTAGCATTCTTCCAGTCTGAACCAAACTAGCTGTTGTGGCGAGGATATTGAACTAGCACTCACGGTGCTCTTGAACGTTATGAAAATGATAAGAACTTCATGGCGTAGGTATCCTACTATATATAATCGGCTAAGCGGTTGTGCATGTGTATGTCTGTGTGTATGTGTTTGTCTGAATTCATAGCTCGGGCACCAGTGGTCGTCAGGAGTTGGTTTCAAGATATGATATAGGGGGTGGGACGGGAACATATTTGGTGGGGGTCACAAAGTGATAACGACTGATAAGAGCAGATAAGAGGCGCTGAAACACAAATTTCACGAAATTCATAGTGCGCTTCGCAGCAGTCGTCAGGAGCTGATTTTGGGACATGATATAGGGGGTGGGACGGGAACATATTTGGTGGGGGTCAAAAGTGATAACGACTGATGAGGACTGATATAACGATATGCGTACGAACGTAGAGAGCACTTGAAATAGAAATAGAGAGCAGATTGTAGATAATGCCTTTCATTTCAATATCATTTCATCAGCGTTGTAATTGTAAACTCAAACACCTTTCGACCGCTACACCTTCTAGAGTTCTTGAGGATGAATGGGATGCTCGAATAAATATGATAATGAATACTAGGCATTCCGTTTTGAGATATTCGACCGCTAAATTACCTCGATACTCGACGCATAGTGGTTGTTTACATCATCACTTTAGCTGTGCACTTCACTGCGCTTATCAAACAGTGAGATACAGCCAAGATGAGCAGCCTATGCAACGGACAGTAATACATTTAACGAAGCAGCTATAATTTAGCGGTGAAACCTAAAGCTTCATCGATTGTCAGTTCTATCAATGCGCGCGGTAGCGGGCGGAGCTAAACTGGTAAGATATAAACCGAAGAAGTGCCTGCGCGCAACATGTGCGGAACCCAAGAAGCGACTACTGGCACATGATTTCGTATGCATTGGGAATATTATTATTGGGCTGTTCCATATTATTGTACTACATGATGTGATTTAACTTATATATAAATTCAATCGGTATTCTCCGTTTGAAAGCTTGAAATGTATTCTCTGAGTATGTGCCATAATTTTGACACC